GTGTTAGTTAGTTACTTAGTTTGTACGTAGTACGTAGTTACGTATAGGGTCGGTAGTAGTATATATATATAAATATATATTATATATATATATATATATATATATATATATACCTTAGTTTTGTTGTCTTTATTCCATGTTATAAAAAGAGTAAGGACATTTTTGTCATTGAATAGGATGTTGATGATATTTTCACTAAAAAATAAGAATAATTATGGAGTGAAACTTTAGGTACTTTATCACTATAAATGCCCTTGTCTGTTAGTGAATATTTCAAAAATGTCCTCCTTGAGATGACAAACATGCCCTTTGTTTTAGTGAAAATATCAATAATACCCTTTCAAATGATAAAAATGCCCTTATTCACTTTATAAACATGCAGTAAACAAAAAAAAAAGGAAAAAAGTAATCTTCACAGTTCACACCCCTTTCTAAATATAACCTATAGGATTTCAAGGGAGTAACCACAGAAAAACACTATTATGGGTTTTTAATATAATTAGTAACTTTTAATAACAAAATAAATTGAAATATATAAAAGACGTGGGTCCACAACAAAGACACGTGTTGCAAAATCATAAGACCCACAAGCGAACACGTCTCTCACAAAAACAGAAAGCAGTCAAGCATTCTCATTTGTCCAATTTGTTGGACTCGCGCATCCACATAGCACACACACCAAACCTGCAACCCCAAAATAAATGGAAATTTCCAGACACGTGCCGACACGGATTTCTTGTGCCTATATGCATGTCTACACCTATGTCTAGTGCATTAGTGTGTCTGATTTTCTCCTAAATACATGTGAGCACTTTTGTCATGGTTAAATAGCTGGTCAATTAAGCACTTTTCATTGCATTCCAACCATGTTAGACATAAGATTCACAACATGGTCAGTTTCCACGATATGCGTCCCAGCTTGAGCAATGGTGGGTTACACCCATTGTTCAAAAAAGCGGACCATCCAGCACCTAGGCAATCCAACAGGCCTGGGCGCATCGCCCAAGCTTAGGCGACCAAACTAGGCGGCAGTCCTTGGGCAGCCGCCTAGGCGGTACAGAACCCGCCTAGGCAGGCGCCCAGCCCTAGGCAACCGCCCAGGGCATGCGCCCTGCCTAGAGGCGGAAATGAATTTTTTTTGTTCTATTGACTTTTTTGAAACATAAAGGCTTTTAAGGATGAGTTTTAGGTTCATTTGAAATGAATCCACAAGAACCCATTTTAGAAATAAAGTAACCTCTAAAAAACTAAATTTTGTGATTTTCATTGCATCGAAGTGTTTCTCAAAGTTGCGAAAATGGATACAAGCATCACCCAAGTAGATTAGATTTAGTTTTGGAGTTTCTTAATCCTATTAGAAGGTTTTTTTATCATTTTAGCACCAAAAAAAATCTCAGAGGTGGGAGTTTGGAGTTCGAGCAATCAAAGTGAGTGCAAAACTTTATTTTTTAGATTGCTTATTTTATTTTGAGATGTCTTCTTCAGGATCTAGTCGAAGTGGAGATCCGGGTTCGAAATATGGATATAACCCGAATCCAAATGACAAAAATTGCATTAGATGCAATTATTGTGAAAAAGATACCAAAGGGGGTATAAACCAGTGTAAGAAACATCTTGTCGGCATTAAGGGGGATGTTGCCCCTTGTAAAAATGTTCCTGAAGCTATCAGAGAGGAGATTAAGCAATATATGAGTTCTGTAAAACAAAAATAGGAACAAAATCCTTGTCATTTGAATAGATCTTATTTTTATTCTTCATGGTTATAACCCAAAACCAAACGATAAAAATTGTATAAAGTGTAATTTTTGTGAAAAAGATACCAATTGGGATATTAACCGATTCAAGAAACACCTTGCCAGTATTAAAGGGCATGTTGCTTCTTGTAAAAAGGAGCCTGAAGCTATTCGAGATGAGATTAAACAATTTCTGAAATTAAAAGAACCAAAAAAGGATGAAAATGAGCCTTGTTCTATGGAAATATCTTCTCCAGGTTCTTCTAGAAGTGGTGATCAGGGTTGGAAGTATGGTTATAACCCGAATCCGAATGACAAAATCATATTCAATGTAATTATTGTGGAAAGGATACTAATGGGGGCATTTACAGGCTTAAAAAATACTTTGCCTGTATTAAGGGGGATGTTGCCCCATGTAAAAATGTTCCTGAAGCTACAAGGGAGGAGATTATACAATATTTGAGTTCATGGAAGCACAAAAAGATAGAAAAGGGTAGAGCAGCCAAGACTCCTAGGTATCTGCACATACTAGTAAGAGGGAGGTAGAAGAGGAGGAGGAGGACGATGCAGATTCAGAAGAAACAGAGGAGGACGAGCATTATATTGAAGAGGGAGATGACTCTGATGATGATTGCATAGAATCTGATGCATATGATGAGGCTTACCCTATTCCTTCTGATAATGATAATGATGACTGAAGAATGAAGAGTTGAAGACGCTTGAGTGCTTGACTCTTGGTGTTGAGTGTTGACTGTTGAGTGTTGACTATTGTGTCCTAGATAGAATATTTTTTGAATTTCTGTATATTTTTTTTTTCTTATTTTTAGTTTCTACTTTCTAGTTTCTACTATCTAACTTTTGTGTGTACAATTTATAGTGTATCAGACTATCAGTGTATGTTTGTATGGTTTTACTGTTTTAGCATTGTATGAAAATATGGATTATGGTCTTATGGATTATCAAAATTCTCTTCTGGACTTCTATCTTCTTTTTTTTTTCAACTGGGCCGCTCAGGTTTTGGGCGCCACCTAGGCGCTGGGCAGCCTGGACCCCACGGCCGCCCCAGTGCCGCCTAGCACTTTTTGAAACACTGGTTACACCAATACTGAAGCATTCCTCCTATGGAACTTGGAATGGCCACTGTTGAAGCATTGCTACTATTGAACTTGTACTGATCCAGCTAACCCAAAAAGATTGAAGGCAAAAGACTGTCTATTAATGGCTACTGGAAAAAACAAAAATAGACCATTTACTATTTCTGCCTCTTGATTGAACATCGAGCAAATACTTGGTATGATCATCCCTCACTTTACCAGATGATCAACTGTTACAACTTTATCTACTGTGGATTTGAGTTGCAGGTGGAGCAGGTATACGCAATACCAGCAAATAACTAAGCTGATGTTAGCACTGAGTCAATATCTGGTACATGGAATTAACTGACACACTACTTTCATTGTCAGGTCTCAAATTCAGCTTGCCTTCTTTCCTCACTGTGTAAAAGTGCTGCTGTAGATTTGCCAAACATTCAATCTCATCCTCTTACAAGGTTCTTCAAGGGAAGGGATCCAGGTGACTCAAAGCCCTCACCTTCTACTACTTTGTCATTCTCATGTTGGTTCTAAGGCAACTACAACACATGGGTGCCTGTCCATAATTGTATCATGCCCAGGCCAGGCCACAAGTCCATCTAAAACCTTGTTCGCAGACCATTTCGCACTTGTATCCTATGTTCTAAATAAGGTCTTGTCCACACCTACTTATTCCATTCTACACCCTTGAAAGCGTGGTACTATTTTCCATTGCCTTGACTAGCCCCCCAGCTCCATCCTTCCCATACTATACCTCTTTCCATGGATGAGTTATTGTGTGCCAAGCCTCCACCACCACTTGGCCAGTAGTGCTGCATTTGTTTTTCAGATTCCCCTAATCCCAAACCCCTTTGGTTTTGTTAAGCCACTAAGCCTATTCTTTCCCATTTAACCAAGTGATGATCCTCCACTTGCCAACTGAGCCCAGAACTATAACAGCTGCTTTTGAACAAGGGACTACAAAAATACCAATTACCACAGCCTACCCTGTCAAAAATTGAAACAAGTTCACACAATCCCCAACACAATTACAACCATTTCTTCTTTCCAAATCCCCTAAAGACCAGCTACAAGGGACAACCTCTAAAGTAAGTAATCATTCGAGCAGAGCACCCAACTCTAAGAGATCAGTCACCAAAACAGACAAGACCCAATGATCACCCTGACAAATGTTTGGGAAAAGACAACCACAATGCTGTAGATGACGCAATGAGGGCCTCATCAAGTGTGACAAATCATCTGAATCCTTGTACTTTTCATGAATTACACAAATTAGGTTACCACCTAGTACCTGATTTTGCCTGCAACCATCTTCTCTCCTCTCTCTAGCCTTCTAGACTCATCTTGGGGTTTCTTTTTCGGTTTTTGTTTTATTTTCAATCAGTTTCTGTTGATTGCATATGTGTCTCTGTTGCCTGTGGTCTTCAGTACAACTTGGCACACACAAAGTACACACTGTCCTTTATGAAGATGAGTTAATAATCAAACAGAATGTCATAAGGTAGGTGACTTAACACCCCATATGCCATCCCTCCTTAATCCATCTAATTTCTACATTCATCCAATTTCAAGGAAACATGAAAGACCCAACATGAAACTTAATGTGTTACCACCCAAGCCACAGCTATTGCCATCTCAACAACACCCAGAGGATCTATAGAAAACAAATGACAAAATATTCTCAAGGATTTCCCAAAAGCTTAATCCAGAAATATAACTTGGCAGGGTTAGCTACAATTATCAAAAGAGAATGTGAATAGTCAACGTGAGGCAACATTGAAACCTCTAGAACAGTGTGCCCATACTCGCATGTTTAACAAATGGCTAATGGCTCCAAATAACCCCCAAAGAATATCTTTGCTCACCACCCATCTCGCAACCATAATTAGACAGTATGAATCAAGTTCTCAACATCATCAACTCTGAAATTTCATTATTTACCTCTTTCCATAAATAAAATCCCCTGGATTTTTGCCCCTCCCATTTAGTCTCTCTCTCTTTCGAGCCCATCTCAACAGCATGATACTAACAACAGGGGAAACTGCTGCCCCAATTCCATCCAACCTTCAAAACAAACTCCAAATCACGCCGTTGGAACCTAGAGCTAGACGGGATCAAAATCTTTGTGCCCATAAACAGAAAGCGTACTTAGGTAACTTGGAACTTCTAGCACAACCATCACTTGATAAATGTTAGAACGGTTTAGCCAAAACTAATACTATTTTTTACAGAGGTATGTCACTTGTATGAATCTGTCAGAGAAATGCACCCTCAAAAAACTACTCCATTTTTCTTTTTTCTTTTTTCTTTTTTTAATTGTTAACGGTGCGAATAGAGTAGGACATTATGTTGAGACACCTGTTCCCCTGACCACCGATGCCCTGACCCCATTCCCTCACAAAGATGTCCCTCACTTAAGCTGGATCCACACTGCTAGAACAAATATTAAAAGCCATTTTGGATTAAGCTAAGAATGCAAGCTCAACCTACACAAGATTCCCCAGCAAATCCTTATGTTCATTGGAACTGATCAAATTTCAGAGGATTCTGCAAAAGTACATCCTTTAGCAGAAGTCATACCATATCAGTCAACAGGCAAACCTTCTCTTTTTTTTAATTACTAACATCCAAACTTTTTTTTTCTATTTGATCGGTAACATCCAAAACTTTTTCATACCCAAATTGTGGCATATCTGTAGACTTTTACAGTCATATGCAATTGAGCATTGCTCAATGACCTCTAACGCACTTATCATAATGAAACTAGCTAGTTGCACCCGCTCATTTCCATAAATAGATATGTCACAAGTTAGTGGAACAGGATTCAAGCAGTCTAAGGGTTCAAAAATTGGTTAAAAACAACAGAAAAAAGAAAAAACATTTGTTCATATTGCCTATCAAGACAGAAAGATCACAGCAATCATCATTCATCACTGCGTAAATGATATGTATAAAAGGGAACCATATGAATTACACATCTAAAATATGTATGCAATCTACACTGATTGATACAGAAATCCACAATTTGGATTCATAGAGTGATTCTTCTAGCACCTAACTTGACAACTAGTCCAGAAAATTCTCTACCAAACCTGCCTCTTCCTGAGAGTTTGCAGTAAGGATCATAGAATTTTGGTAAACATGTAGTAATGCAAACTTCAGTTGATAAATCAAGTACCTTTTCAGAAAATCAATTTGGCTAAACTATCTCATTGAGATAATGTCTCCCAACAAAATTCCAGATAGGAAAGCACTAGGACTAATACTACTAGTCAGTAATGGTAGTAATGAGCCATGAAAAAACTTTGCCCATAGAAAACAAAAAGATCCATAAATTACATTTAAATTGCAAATTAACGAGAATATTAACATGATATCAACAGTAGCAAACATAATACAACAACGGCCAAATTAAACTTCAGTAAAATAGTGGAAGCTCTAATAGAAGTCACCCATCAAATATAATAACAGCAAACAGTGATGACCATGGTAATATTAAAATGCAACAGCAACACACACACGAGCGGGCGTGCACAAAAGCATGCACGCGCGTACAAACACACGTAAAAATCAGTAATTAACACACAAACTAAACTTCCCTCAAACAATAGTAATTACAAAAAGTATCACCCACAAAAATCAACAGCAATAATAATCATAACTACAATTACAATACCAGCAGACGTAATGGGGAGTGATGATAAGGCCACTATGAATTAACAAGTAATGGGGAAAATTATAACAAAGATAACAAAAATCATATTGGTACCAACAAAAATCACTACAAAAGTAGCATAAGTAGTAGCAATTATTTTGATTATGATAATAACAAAAAACAAAAACAACATAAACGAGATTAACAACACAATAATATGAATTAGAACACATAATTGCATAGTAGGAAGCATAATACATACATGTTACACTCTTTGATATCTTCATTTGTGTGCTTATAAACGCAGTCTTGCTCTCTGCACTCTCCATAGAGCCTGAAGAATCGGCAAACTGGCATTCGAGACTTATCGTATTGGTGCAAAAACCCACAAGCATCTCCCTTCATGCAAAGGCTCCTGAGCCAATGCCTGCAAACTGTTTGCCGGAAACTCCTGCGACCTTGCAGGTTCATGGCGGCCGGATCAGGAAGGTTTCCGGCAACTGAATTGCTAGAAATTGGGGCGTTTGGATCATTTTGGATGAGAGATATTGCGGTTGGGTTTGGATTGTTGGTTGTTTCAAGGCCACCCTCAAAGTCGAAGCTGAGGCCCCCTTCTGGTTCTTCCATTTTAGGGCCTTTTTGGGTTCTAGGATGGGCTCATTAGAGAGAGAGAGATGGGTCCAAGAATTAGAGCTGCAATTCTTTGAGATGGGTTTTAGAGGGAGAGAAGGCGGGAACTAAGAAGGATAAACTGCGATAACCAAATAAGGGTTTTAGGGCAAACAGAGAGTGAGGTTCAGAGGAACCGATGGGAAAAGACTTTAAACATGGAAAAGAGACTCAGAGACTCCTATGTTTCCATGGAGGGAGGGAGAGAGAGACTAAACCTCTCCTGACGAAGAGAAGAGAGAGAGAGAGAGAGAGAGAGAGGCTGAACAAGTAAACATGTCCTTTTCCGTTTTAACTCGTCCACGAGCATGTACAGCGTGCTCTCGCGAGAACATGTTATATGCAGGGCGTGATTAGCGAGTCTGGACTTAAAACATGTTTTTAGGACTACTATTTCACAACCACTCCTAGCTTAGCTGTTAGATGTCAAATTGTATACCTTCAGAATTGCTATGAAATTCCGGAAATTTTGTTTTAAATTTTGAGTCTAATAAACAATATACTTACAATCACCTTATTTAAAACTGGATGGACAAGAGTGATTATGGCATTCTAGCGTCAAAAGTAAATCGTCTCTCTGCATTTTTTTTTTGTTTTTTTGTTGTTGTTTATAATTTTTAAAAAAAATATTTTAAAAAATTTAATATATGTATTTTTGTCTTTTTCATAAAAGCTTTTTTTATAGAAGAGGTCATATATTATGCTCCTTTAGGATCATTTTATACATTTACACCATCAAAAAAAACACTAGGGAGATTTTTTTTTAAAAAAAAAAATTGAGATCCACCTAATTATAAATAGATGATTATTTTCAAATACAATAAATGAATTTTGATTTCTTGAACATCTACATTCCCTCCAAAATTTTGGATGGTTCCAGTCAAAATTTGGATTGCCATTTTTTTATGCACATAGAAAGTGAGTTTTTTTTTTCTTTTTTTTTTTGAGGTTGGTTTCCACATTCTAGAGATCGCATTCTCAAATTTTGAGATCTAAAAGATATTCCTAGTATAAGTTTTGCCTAAAGGACTAGATGGATAGCATGCTGCAACCGCAGTACAAAATCTTTAGGTTTTATAAAAAAATTATTCTGCATTTGAACTTCCCTTTCCTTTATTGATTTGATGTCTTTAATCTTATTCTAATTTAAGCACATTAAATAATGGGAGTGAACTAAGAATCTTGGTTTGACAAAAGATTTTATTAAAAAATTTCACCAATACACTCCCTTAAAAAAAAAAAAAAAGTGCATTAAATAGCTATAAGCAATATATTATCAATAATATACAAAAATAATCATATATGAAATATTTTCCTTTTTCGCTAAAACTAAAGTATCATTATAAATGGCGAGAATGAGATCCAGTAACAAGTAAAATTTAAGGCAACTGGGAAATCATCGTGAGGTTCGAATATTTGGGTTTGTTTAAAAATTCTGGCAATTTCTTCACATTTTCATTTTTTGTTGTTTCATTGGTGTATACAATACAACATTTTTTATGGACCACTAACTTATATTTTTTGTTTTGTGGTTTTAGTAAACTGCAATCTTATATTGAAGGTCTTTTTTCTCTTTTCTTGTTAACAATAATCATATACCTTGTGTTATAGTTCTTGTTATTTGCTAATGTAGTTTTTGTGGTTGGTTTTATTATTGTCGTTTCGTCACATGCGCCTAATAAATCCATCATATGTTTTATGTTGTGGCAGTAGATCAACATTGTTGATTTAACCCAACATTTATCAAGTATTACTATAATGATACTTGAAATTATTGTTCAACGACCTTATTGTACCTATTTAATAACCATAAATCATATTATTATTTTGTGTCACCTGTATATATCCAAATTTGTCTCTTTGTTATTTTGACCCAAATCTAAAATATTCACGATTTTTAACTTACCTAATTTTTTTTGGAAATCTATATATTTTACCTAATTTTTTTGCCTTCAACCTTTTGGGACAAAACTGACTTATTTACAATAATTTTGGTTTGCCAATATATTGTTATTCAACGACTTGCTTACCAAGATGCAAATAAGGATAATATTTTGAATTTTGAAAATTGGGAATTGGGACTTCGCTTTAGAATCCCATTGTTTCAATGAAAAAATAAAAATTATCAAAGGACATATGAGGAATGAACTACTTAACATTGTTCTTTTTTTTTCTTTTTCAAAATTCAAAAATCCCCAAAAAATAAAAAGAAAAAGATGATCCTCTCGTCATGGCCCAACAAAATCAAGAGTATGCACGCCTTTTTTGGAATATATGCTTATATTATTTGTTCATGGATAAAGTTTCCATAAGTTCAAGCTTCTTCTTTTTATTTTTTTGTGACAAGGGCACATAGTTTTATTGATAATAATGAATTATATCATATTACAAATAATTGTAAAGAATGAAGCCCCAGATTTTGCTAACATATCCACCATCTGTTTAACGTCCCTAAAGACGTGGTTAAATACAATTAAATTGTAATATGGAATTTTTCAATTAGAGGTATTTTTTGTCATTTATAATTGATATTTTTATAAAAATAGTGGCATTTTATTAATAGTTAAAAAACAATTAAAGCATCTTGAGGGTGATGTCACACATCATGTCTTAATAAATATTTTTGTTTTTTATTAAATATTTATATCATAAATTTTTATTTTACCCTTGACTAATTACTCAAAGGTCCACTTGGCATACTGATGCATCTGTAGGTGTAGAGAGGTAAGATGCACCTTCAAAATTTATCATGGTATGCATTTTTTATGAAAAATGTTTTTAGGATTATCTCAAAATCTATTTTTATATCTAATTATAAAATTTTAAATTTAAAAATTTGCTTAAATCAAGTAGATCTATAAACATATGAAAATCTTGAAAATGGCCGGTGTAGATAGTATGTTGTGAAATGTATTATTCATGAGACTTAAAATCTTTTTATTTTTCATGGTCATAAATCTCGATGTTGAGATGATCAATCAAAGGGTTTTTTAACATTAAAACCTATATTTTTCTGTTGGATTTTTTAAGTGCATCCATAGTTCTACATTATAAGGTTGCATCCTTATATAAACTTTTTCCTTACTTAAATACCCATAAACAAAAAGTTGCTACACTATATAGGATATGGGCATCTAAGTGTCAAAAAATTGAGGACTTAAGGGTATACACTGCAAAATGATGTAGCCTAACAAAACCCATATCTAAAACCTCCATCTATACATATACACTCATAAACTTCTTTAAATAACTTAGTTTTTCCCAACAAAAAAGAACTTTCAATTTACAGGTGACTTTTACCTTTCAGTTATCACAAACTCGAGTTTTTGTAAAACTGCCAACAATTCAGCATTATTAACGGTAACAATACCACCTAGAGTAAACAAAAACTACAATAAAAACTACATTACCCTCAAAATTACGAACACCTCCCACTCTAGCTGACCCTAGGTTTCTAAAGGAACTTTTCAGAGTTTAGCTTAACACACCTATCCAATTGTGGTGTCTATCTTCCTTTTGGTTTAACCTTTGAGAAAGATTCAGTAACCAAATTGTGAACATTGAGAGTTCCTTCATTTTGAAATACCAAAACCACACATTGTGGATGATCTTTTTTTTAACCTTATAAAGGTCTGAACTTGCACTTTCAAAAGTATGTATATTCATCTCCAACTAGATCTCCCAAAGCAAAGCCCTGATCTCCCAAATAACCATATTTTTAAATAACCATAATTTTCTTAGACAAACACAGTAGGTGGTAGGGATAAAGAACATCCCATAGAATATAAGACCCACAACATAGTAAAAATAGACGATCCACAATCTCTTCATACTCGTTTGCAAATACACACATTGACAATCAACTTAGCCCTTTTTCTCGCAAATAGTCAACCGCTAGGACTTTGTCTTGAGATAAGATCCAAATGAACATTTGCACCTTGTGGGGAATACGTCATTTCCAAATACGTTTCAAACCTCACTGCAACCACCTTATAACGAATATGGAAAAGAAGACGATAGGTAAATTTTTTTTAAAAAAATCCATCATTAGTGTACTCCTAGATCACCTCATCTTCTTCATTTGGTGAAATATAAACCGCTTCCAATTTGTCAATGAGATTAAGTGAATTAAGTAATAAGGACATCTATGATTATGTTATAAGTAAATTGCAAGCTCCAATTAACCTGAATATCATCACAAACATAGGCCTCATTAACCTTCAAGCTTTGATTTGTAGCATTTTCAAATAGCTCTCCAAATAACCTGAATATCATCACCAACATAAGCCTCATTAACCTTCAAGCTTTGATTTGTAGTCTTGTCGAATAGCTCCTTACACTACACCTTTAGTGCCTATCTCCAATCTATTCGTGAGCTCTACAGTGTGTCATGTCCTCATTTGTCAATCACCTATCTAACATTTATTACAACCAAATCTTTTGAAACAGAGATGCACTTCCAAATACGATATTGAAATTTTCCTTCTCCACCCCGACCGATCAAACCATTATTGTCCAATCCATAATTGGAAACAAAAACATCATTCCGTAACTATTCACCCCCTATCAATGATTCCACCACCGTTTTGTCAGTCAAGCCTGATTCACTAGCTTCAATCTCCTAATACCCAGACTACCGTCTGTCATTGATGTATATATTTTCTCCCAACTAACTAGATGATACTCCTTTCCTCCGCCCAATATGTCAAAAAAAAACAAAAAAACCTCATAAGAATAAACCGAATGCTCTTCATCAACCTTGAATTGATGCAGTTTCCGTGAGGAAAAGCCTGTTGATGGCACATACTGAGGAAGTAGATAAAGAGTGTGGTAAGGGAGAGAGGACCACGCGACAAAAATAATCCCATTTGATAGAACTAAAAAGCCAATAAATAAATCTTTCTGAAAGGAAGTTATTCTATTACTCAACTATTACTTCGTTGGTTTGTGTGAAAATATTTTTCAAAAAATATTTTGTGAAAAATTCCTTCATGTGATTACGTAAAAGAACATTTTCATACTAATTACCTGCTGATTTAATGTGAAAAGAAACATTGAGATTGAAAACATTTTCATACCTAACCACATGAGACAATATTTTAAATGAATAATATTTTCTTAAAATATAAAATATATTAACGTGAACTAAATATGCAATGCGATTGGCTTCCTACATTGTAGTGCATGGTTATATTCCATTATATAAAGTTGCAAATTTTTAATGTAGAATTAAATATGCACCTAAAAAATCCATTGTAAAATGTTGTTTAGATATTGAGAAAGGGAAAATTTCGTACAGTCCTCTAATTCTCCATCTTATTTCATGGTACCCGTCCTTCTATGTTTTTTTAAGCGGCATAAAAAAAAACCCTCGAGTCACTTTTAGCCACAAAAACTAGCCCTAATAAATTGTTTTATTCCATCTCAATCCAAAAGTATTTTTAACCCTATTTTGCACTTTCAGTACCTAAGTGATTGAGATAGAATAAAACAATCTTTTGAGATTAGTTTTTGTGGTCAAAAGTCAATAAATGTGGAAGAGAAGAGATAATGGGGTACGTTGAAATACTTAAGGGTTTTTTTATGTCGTTTCAAAAGAAAAATAGAAGGAGTTTTTTTATTGGAAAACTTTATAATTTATCATATTGACATTGATATGTATGAATATGAAAAGAAAAAAAAGATTTTGAGTCCACGAAATAGTGTTTGTTACTCATTATCTTGACTGTCAATTTTCAAGATTTTCATGTGTTTATAGATCTACTTGATTTCAACCATTTTTAGAGTTTAAATTTTTATAATTAAAGATGAAAATAGATTCTCAATCTATCTTAATAATTTTTTATACCAAAACTGCATTTATGATAAAATTTAGAGATGCGTCTTAATTAGATTATTTAAGGGTGCAACCTTATGCAAATCATACCCTTATAAAAATTACCATGAATTTATATTTGGAAAAAGTTTATATAAGATTGCAACCTTAAATGTAGAATTACATATGCACCTAAAAAATCCATCGGGAAATTTTGTTTTAATGTTGAAAAACCCTCTAATTGATTATCTTGACATCGAGATGTATGGATATGAAAAATAAATAAATTTGAGTGCATCTTACAACACATTATCTAGACCGTCCATTTTCAAAATCTTCATATGTTTATAGATCTGTTTGTTTTTAACTATTTTTGAAGTTTAAAATTCTATAATTAGATATGAAAATAGATTTTAAGATAATCATAATACTCTTTTAAACCAACGTTACATATTATGATAAAATTTAGAGGTGCACCTTAATTGGATTGTTTAAGGTTGCAACCTTATAGAAACCACCCCCTATGTATTTTGATAAGTAAAACTAAAACTCATTCAGTGAAAAGTTTCCTCCTTTTTATTGATATTTTTTTAACGCCTAAGCCCAAGTCATAAGTAGGGTTTATCTTCTCGGTTTCTCTCGGAAAGTATAGGGTGTGATTTCTATAGAGCTCAGGTCCTAAACAATCAAATTAGAGCGTACCTTCTACTGTCGAGAAATATAGTTTGAATATTAGAAATCTCTATCATACCTTTAAAATATAATTTAATATTTATTTATAAAGTTTAAAATTTCAAAAATAATATAAATTTAGATCTATTAAAACTTGAAAATTGACTGTGAAAAATACATTACAAAATGTACTATTTTTAAAACTTAAAATCCACATATAACACATTTGAGCATCAAAACAATCAAATTAATCGTAAAAAATACATTACAAAATACACTATTTTCAAAACTTAAAATCATAACATATTTAAGCATCAAAACAACCGCTTCAAAAATTTTAAGGTTAGCTCAAATTTGGTTGTTTAGAGCCTCGGCTCTACATAAACTTTTTCCCCGAAGTTTATCGCCTCGCAACTCTTTCCCTCTCTCTCAAGGTTTAGGGTTTTACAAGGGAATCCCTCTCTTCCTCAGTTTCTCTATCTTCATTGTAACTCTCTCGGTATGCCCCATTTTCTCGAGGTTCAGCGTTTTGGAGGTGACTCTCTCTTAAAATTTCATTAGTTTCCTCTTAAATTCTTCTTCCTCTCCTCTCTCTCTCTCTCTCTCTCTCTCTCTCTCTCTCTCTCTCTCTCTCTCTACTCTACTACTACTTACTACTACTACTACTATACGTATACGTAACTACGTAACGTAACGTAAGTAACGTAACGTAACGTAAGTAACGTAACGTA